TGGGGCTTGTTATTCGCAAGGATCCCAGTAGTTGAGAAGGATCGTTTTTGCTGGTATACGACGAAAGGAACACAGGTGTCATGCAATGCGTTGGCCTAGCCCACATGCAGCAGAGAACACAGTAAACGCCTGCGTGACCAAGGATATCATCCCTTGATATCCCCCACACAGCTTGTCAGTTCCCCCTATCTATTTGCTGAGAAGAAGTCAGAGGATTCCCCCAACGCTTGCAGAGAACAGTGCCAACTGCCACCCGGCTAATGTCTGTGGGACCAAATTGCAGCGCCACTCGTCTCCGTTTCCCAGCTGCTTTCGCAGCTGATGCCGTGTCCGCCCCTCCCCAGGGTTTACACAGCCTCCCTCCCCGCAACGCACACTTCTTTCCAAAGGTCCCTGTGCGCCGCGATCGGGTGCAGGAGCAGTGCACGTTTGGCCTCTTCAGATGTCCAGAGGGTTTGAGTTTTCGGGCTTGGGGTAACTGCCTTCGCTTGAGCAGCCTCCGCTTGAACATGGTTTAGGGTTCAAAGTGCGGGGCTTAAATAGGGTGACAATCCGCAAGGAAGGGTGACAATATGGAGAATCCTTGTTGTTGCCGGGACATCGGACGACATCACTTGGCCTCACGTGAGGCAGGGGAAAGTGTTCAAGCATCCGCATTGCACGCTTTAAGAGCCCCATGCACTGAGGCATTTGGCTGTGCACCTAACCGCAACCTCCGAACATACGCCCCGTGCATTTGGTCCATGCCATCGTCTTGCTTAATCTTTGAGCCCGAAACCTGAAACTCCAAGGCCAAAGCAAGAAACCACAAGTCCACTTGGCGACAACCGCTCACTTTTAATTGCAAAAGCGATTTCGTCTGACTGGATCAGACGTGCCTCGAAGGGGACTATGCTGTTGCTTTTGCTTTGCTTGGCTGGACAGGAGCGACTGCTGAATGAGAGCTCCTGGGACGACACGTCCCGGATGTGATCCGGAGTTGCTTGCAAGCCCTATGGCACTATGTTTCTCCCCATAGAAGAGAGACATTTTAACTTGTTCAACCCGGGCAGGTGTTCCAACATGGGCTGCATGGTGTCAACTCAGGGGCTTCGGGTCGTGGGTTGGCCGACTGCTATGGATTGGATCCACCTGCCATCACCTGCCGAAACTCGCTTCCCTCAAGCCAGAACGCCTGTGAATACACTCTGGCCTGTTCCTGTTTAGAATGGACACGATCTATGCTTAGACTTCATAGCTTTCTTGGGGGCTGGTAAGGGGTCGGTGGTTTTTGTGGCCAAGATGGGATAGATCTCCGGATCTCCAAGCGCTAGTGATAAGCTAGTGGCTGGAGGATCCTTGGTAGGCGCTGCTCTTTAGATAGTTTCAACCTAAACACTTGCAATGAATGCGAGTGCAGTTAATGACTTTGCTGCCGTAACCGCACAAGGCGGCTGGTGTGGCAAAGAGGATAGAGGAGATTCCGAAATTCATAGTCACTCCCATTGAAATTGCCCAGCTCGGTAGAAAGCCTTCACTTTCGGACCTTTTCTGGAAACTCAGCACTTGCCTGAGTGTGGGACTTCCTCCATGCAAAGTGGGCAATTTTCAGAAGCTCCTGCCTACGCTGTAGCATCATGTAGGCTCTGACGGCTTTTTCGAGTTTTAATCCGCAGATCCTGCCTGGCCACTTCAGACCGGCACATGATGCTTCATAGTTTCGTTGCCAGGCCTGAAAAAAGGGTGCTTCAGTGCAGGGTGGTCAGGGAGCGTCCTCGCTTTAATTTAGCCAGCTAGCTACTTGTAGTTAGGGACACACTCAATTGCAAGCAAGCTGTGATGCGTCTAACTACCAGATGTGCCAACCAAGCCATGGCTAAGAAACAACTTCTTTCTCAACGCCCAAGCCAAGGGCATGACCTGTTCCCATGTGATAGTTTCCAGCAATAAGCTTCACCTTCTGGGGGCTGCGGGGGATTGGTGGAGTTCCTGGAGCGGCACAGGATTCAAAAGCGAGGTTGAAACATGTTGCTTATTATCGCATTGTGTTCGACGGAGCTTGGCACGAATTACCACAAGGCCTCAACTCCTCCCTCATCCCAAGCCCCGACCTCAAACCTTGAACTCTCTTAGATGCTTTGCCCGAAACCTGAAGATTTCCAGGGAAGAGAAAGTACAAGCGGCTGATGATAAGAGGAGTCGCCCGTTCTCTGCGACAAAGGGAGTTTGGGGTGTTTGAACCACCCTTTCACCCCGACAATTTGAGCCTTAAGCTATACATCCCGAGCCCAAGCCCGAAAACATGGCTGATGATGTTGGTCGAAATACACTGGCAGCCGCAATGGCGGGGTTGATTCAGCCTGTCGCTTGTCAGCAAATAATTAGAGATCCCCTGCAGGCATCGACGATCAGGATTATAGTGTTTGAGGGTCCGCGATTTTGGAAGGCTCATTTATGTTTGAAGCTTCCGAGTTAGGGTCAGAGGTTCCAGGGTTCAGGTGAACGTCAAAACCTACAGCAACGCCCTAGAACCCTACACATCGACTTTGGGGCGCCTGGCACTTCCAAGGCCATCTTCAACCCTGCCGATTGCCTGCGCATCCGCTGGCAAGTCTCTGTTGGCCAAAGCTCCTTCGCCTCCTTCACCACCGCAGCTCGATTTGTAGATATACACACGTTAGGTTAGAGGGAAGCTTTTCAAGTGCGACGAGTAGATGACAAGAAAGAGGGTCCTTGGTTTGGGGTGTGACTTTGGAATTCCCGGTTCAGGGCGTCTCTTGGCAGCTTCAGTTCTTGGCTATTTGAGTCTTGGCTTTTAATGTGACGGGGCGCCGGGATTTCTCCAACGGTCCTCATTTGTGAAACTTCATGCTTGCCAATCATGCATCTAGGTACGGTGGTCTAAATAACCACAACTAAGCATGGCTCTTCATCACGGATTGAGGGGTTAGTTTGGAGTCAGTCAAAATTGGTGCCAGAATTTGGTTTACGGGTTGGCATCCATGAGGTGGGGCAAGGTGTAAGGCTGCGTGACGAGACCTGATATTGCCAATGGTTGAGAGACAAGTGGAAAGAATCTTCCACCTACACAAGGCCAGAGATGGCCAGAGAAGCCAAGTAAAGCGGCTTGAGGCGTTCTTACTTGGTCATCGCATGCTTGACGCTTTTCCAATTTGCAGCCTGGGTTCTGCTAACGCATGCAGCGCGCGTCCTCACATGATAGTCTGATAAAATGCTGTTGAACTCAGACTCCACCCAAGGTTTAAAAATATCCTCTCCGCACATGACTGCCAACATACCAGGTTTTTGCTACTCTAGTTCCAATAGTCTTTATTTAGGTCTAATGCCGAATCTTTCACATGCAGAACAGAGTACGCAGGCAAAGGTAGACTGTGACTCTTATATCATTCAGGGAGCCCCGCTACCAAAGCCTTCGCCCAGCGGCCCTAGTTTAGGGGGGTTCTAGCAGGGACCAACATCAGGGTTCAAGGTCTATAAGGCTCATGGGGTATTAAGGGCTTGTTGTTTTTGAATTCCGGATTTCTTGCCTGGTTGTGCAATTTGAGGCGAAGAAGCTCAGGAAGACATGGTATATGAAGCGCAGTCTTTACATAGGGCCCGTCCCCTCTCACAAGAAGAAACTTTGCTGCATAGTACCAACGTGAAACTATGCTCTTTTTTAGGCCATTGAAGCCAACACCTATTTACTTCTTGAGGAATGCTGGATGAGAAAAGTACATGGACCAACAAGGGCTTGGTCTTTTCCAGGAACTCCTCCGAAAAGAGGGCCTGTGGACGGGCTTGTGGCGCCCTGGCCTCCCCTTCAATATGTGGCTTGTCGCAGATAGACTTACAGGTGACTAGCAGCAGAAAAAGACTGGGTCATAATTCGTGGCTCGCTTATGTCCTTTCCTGACTAGCCACTAGCAGATGAGGGAGTAGGGCCACCTGAGACTTGATTGATGGCAGACTCTCAGGCTCAGGGCGCAAGAAGCTTTGGACCAGGGTTCCAGGACCATGATCAGCAGGCATTTGTGGAGGATTGACTTGCGCTGTGTTCTGATTGGCTTGAAGAAGGCTGCACACCTACTGGCACAGAGTTCTCTGCGGGCTCAAGAGGTTGCAGGCTCGGTCTGCAGCTCTCTCAAAAAGCACCTTACAAATTGTCGCGTTGGGCATCACAGAGAGGGCTCACGGATACTTGGGCGGCTTGGCTTGCATAAGCCGCCTGAGCTTCGGACTAGCAACTGAAATCCAGGCTGGCTGTCGCCGTGTCGCAAGGGCTGAGGATGGGTCTCTATCCCACTGCCCGTGCAGCTCGTCAGTTATCAAGAGACAAGGAAAGCTTTCCAGTCTTTCTTGTGGTTAGCAACGCTTCAGGATCGCAATTCTAAATTTCACTCGCTACTTCTCCTGCTTCAGAATGCTATGATTCATTTCCAGCATTCGTAAACCATGCTGAAGATCATTTTGACGATCGCATTCCAAACTTGCTCATTCCCCCTGCTCAGCTGGCATTGATTTGCTGTCGCTGTAAACCACCGCAGCTTGCAGCAGCACCACCAGTAAAGGCACCGACAGCACCGGCGCGTGCACCGACGGCACTCGCACCCGCACCCGCACCCGCCCCCGCAGCCGCAGCCGCAGCAGCAGCAGCAGCAGCAGCAGCAGCAGCAGCAGCGCAGCAGCGCCACGGCCGCGGCCACCGCTACCGCCGCCACCGCCACTGCCCCGCCGCGACTGCCACTGCCACCGCCGCCACGACCGCGCCCCTGGCCATCCCCACCGATGTTCAGACCAACATCCGCAGCGTCACGGACAGCACAGCGCACGGTCACCGCTGCCGCAGCCAGTGCCGCGCCGCTACTGCCGCTGCTGCTACCACCGCCGCCGCCACCTGACAACGACGACCTCGCAAGCATTATCATCACCGGTTCATGATTGTCATTCATTTCCATGTATGGGACAAGGATGGCTTGCAGTCGCTGCTGCCCAGCAACGTGCAGAAGTCGGCACCATCCATGCTTGGCGCTGGGCTGATGTCAGGGTGCGGCTGTGGGTTGCTACAAGTTACGAGGGTTCCAGTAATCACTTCATTGTCAGGTTTAAGGGTGTTCGGGAGCATACTTTTGGAGGGTTGAGGAGCTGGGTATTTGTTCCCCAAGTGTGGGTGTAGTGGTTGTAAGGAATCTAGGACTCAGATTCCGTGATTTTTGGCATGATGGTTGTCGGGGCAGTATCTGATGGTGGGCCTCAGCAGAGTCAAAACATTTCTCAACAGGAATGGCTCATGGAAGTGTAGATTGCCGAAGTCTCAGCTTCCGTATTTTGTGGACAGCAGATTTCTTCGTTTCAAGCACGACCGGTGTCTGTATCCCGAACTTGGCTTCGAGAAGAAACCTACTAAATCAACCACGAAGCGTGCTATATCCTGAGCCCTGGGCCTTGCAGGTCGTTTGCCTACTTCGCTGGCGCCCCGTTATGGCTGGTGAAGACCAGACTGCAGGCACAATTTGGGGATTCAGAGTTCTGGGTTCCGTGGCTGAGGTGCCCTAGGCACGGCATGCCAGATTGAGGTTTACGAGCTCAGTTTGGGTTTCAAGTTTGGGCTTGGGGTCCAGGGGTTGGAGGCTTGGATTTGGATTCGATTTGTTTCACATATTTGGAAGCCCCCATCCCACATCACAGTACTATCAGTCCCCAACAAAGCAACCCATCTTCCGGCAATGTAAGATCACCCTTACCGTCATCATCATCATGGCTGGCAGCTTTTACTTCATCGCGCATACATTCCAGGCATGCCATCGGTTACCACAATCCTTCCACTAAGTCCTCCTGCAAAGTAGCAGCTGCAGTAACAGCAGCAGGGGTGACGGCGGCGCAAGGGCACATCAGTTCTCTGAGCAAATAATCTGAATAGTAGGCTCATCCAGGAAGACCTTAGTGTACTGTAAAGTACTGAGCTCTAGCTTGGGATTTCTTAAGCTGAGTACTGTTTGGGGTCTAAGGGGCATCAGCGGGTTATGTGGGATGGGGCTCCCTCTAATGACCAGACTCCACAGGGAATGATCGGAACCCCAACCCCTGATGAAACCCTGAAACCTTCAACTGGCGCCCCGAGCAGTTTATGAGAAGTTTATTCCCCAACAGTTTACTGTTGGGGTTCTAGATCTGCTTCAAAGAACAGACAATGCTGCCGGGTACCGGGAAATCGTCAGTCTTTGTCTCCCGCTTTAATCCCCGCTTGTGTCCCTTCCTACTGCGTGGGGACCGGATAGTGCTGCCGAGGGTCTCCGGAGACTTAGTCTCCCATCATAATCTCCTTTTGTTCATCTCCGCTAAACACGGAGTTTAAAGTCTAGGATTAGGTTCAGCTCCCCATGCATTTCCAGTCTCTTCAAGGTGATTCTGGGTATGAAGTTATTAACTTGCGTGCCGCTGTGAGGCCCGGTCGCAATTTCTCGCAGATGGCTCTGAAAGCGCAGCTTCCGCCAAGATCTACCCGGCACCTTTGGCAAGTTTAAAATATAAAGTCTGGGGGTGAGCTCCTCATGTAGGTTGGTTCAGCTCAACTCAATGACTCTACTTGTTGATGAAAACCGTGGGTTGTAACCTTTGTTGCCGCAATGTGGGGCGATACGCGCACAATCCTGAGCCAAGAGTTGGATATCCCGAAAGTCCGTGCCTCAAAAAATTGTGTCAACAGGGCAGTAGGGAATAGGGATCCATTGCGAATGTTGACTTCTTGTTCTTAATCCTTGAGTTCATGCAACCGTAAAGGCTTCACATGGCTCCTTGAGCTGCAAATTCTAAATCGCCCCGTCTCCTAGACATATGTTGCCGTGTGAGTGCCATGGCCACGGAGATCCTGCACATAACATTTTTCCAACGGGATTCCTACTGCAAGAGGGAACCGCCGCAGATCGCACCCAGGAACGGGTGGTTGAGTACTGGCGGGGGTGTGCGCCTCTGATGCCCGGCTTATGTCAAGTCCAAAACACGCTTCCACAATGCCCCCAAAGCATGAACTAATCAGTTATGTAAGGTCATAAGCATAGGCCTGTTATGCGCCCCCACCTTTTTCCTGGGTAGTAATTAAGTCTGGGCCCTTTGCTGGACTTGTAGGGGTTGATAGGGTACAATGGAGGTATACAAGGAACCCACAGGTATGCAAGCACATGTTGATTAGCTGATTATTGTACCTCCTCCTATGCTTACGCGTGCTCCAAATTTTACGAACATCAGGCCTTCTTCCTGCAACAGCCACGAACAAATTTCGTGTGTTCTCCCGAAAGGGTATAAAGGCTTGCAGGGCTTGTTGCAGGAACTTGGGTGTTTACTTCATTAGGCCCAGAGGTATCGATGCTTCAGAATTTCACGGGCTGCCTGCTTTCGCCGCTACCGGCTCTTCAGCTTGAACCGTTCGCTCCAGTTTTCGCAGACTGAGCTTGTGTGGACAGGTTTCTCTTGCTTCAGGCAGAGAGCTGCCTTTGAAGAGCCTAGCCAGTCAGGTTATACCCAGACAAGCTTGGATCCAATGAATCATACGGCTCCAAACAGCAATCTATCTGCATTATGACAGCATTCAGGTGACAAAGTCAACTGTTACGCAGACTGCAGCTCCTACCTTGAAATCTCTAAATCTGGGTCCTCCATAACTGGATCGCAGTGCCGGGAACATTGAGCAGAGGCCCAGAGCCCGGAGTCCCAGGATTTCTAGTTTCTACTCCTGAAGCCCTCAGGGTGTGCATCCGAGGATTGCCCGTGGTGCCCTACTCACGGCTGGACAGATGTTCGGTCCCTTGGTGTGCTTAGGACTTGAAATCCAGATTTGAGCGGAAAAGCTGTGGGGATTTTGAACAGTAGGTGCTTGGAATGAAATCCCCATAGTAGGGACTGTAGTATTACACATTGACAGAATGGGTCCCCCTCAGTTGCAAATCTCCATGTACGCGGCTTTCGGGGCTGAGCACTTCATCCAGGCAGGTGTTGGTTACCTCTACATTGTGGCTCTTTGTTGAGTTCTTCTGGATTTCCCCATATTTCCCCACGAATGGTAGAAGCCAACTTTCAGCAAGGAGAGTTTGGATTGGCGAGTTGAGTCTTCGTGAAATTGAAGAATTAAACAACCCGGCGAGCTTCTGACACATCAGCAGAGTAGGATTCGATCCATGGATAATAAGAAGATTTACAAATGCAGCCTTCGAATTTGTCGCTTGCGTCACCTGCCTGGCAATCTCAGATTTAGAGTTGCAAGGGCTGTTGTGGGAGGTTGGAGCCCGCCATATTCGCATGACGAGTTCCATGTTCTGTGCACTGCCTGCATAGCCCTTTTTTGCACAAACCTCCGTATGCGCAAGCTTCTGAAAACGGCCACCGCATCAATCTATAGGTAGGCCTTCGTTGTGGGGTTGTGCAAGTGTGCAAGCCATGCCCAGGGGAGCTGTGCACCCGCGGCATGATGAACCACGTCCCGAAGCCAATAAATCCTGAACCCTACAGACCCCGCCTCCACGTTTGAGCGCTAAACCTTCACAATGGTGGGGCTTTACCAGCCCTAAGGCTATGATGGCACCAAGACAGCGGGGAGAGAGTGTCCGGCCGGCAAATCAGTGGAGGGCGGGCCAATCTGTAACCTTGCTGAGGTAATGCAAAAGACCTGTTTAAATCCGGATGTTTTCTTGTTTGCGTGCGAAAGCGCCCTCCAGCCACCCCCACCAGCATTCCGCAGTGTCTATGAGGCCTCAAGACTTTTCAGGACCCCGGGCCTCCTCCTTGTTGGGCAGACGCAGGTGGTGAGTTGTGCATTTTCTGTGCATTTTCTGTCAGTTGTCTTTGGAAAACAGCCTCCTCCTTGTTGAAAGTAATGGGCTCCAGAGCCCTCAATTCCCCAAACCAAAGCCTTTTAAATCCTCGAACGCTTGGAGGGGACCATTATGAGGGGAGCTAAAATCAGATGACGTTCCCCCTCGCGGAGGCCGCACATTGCCCCGAAAGCAATCAGCCCTTCGTGCCCAAAATTCCAACCCCTGAACCTGGCTGTTGTCAAGGAAATTAAGCCAAGTTACGATAATGCGGAGATGTGCAGTAAACAAGATTCAGTCCTTATGACGATACCTTAGTGCAAGTTCCTTAACAGCAGCCCCACAAGCTCTTGAGGATGGCTCGAAGACCCAGTTTAGGGCTAAGGGAAAGAAATGCAACAAACCATATCCAGCCGATTCCTGGGAAGACTCCGAAAAGCATTTGTCGAGGGTTTTCCCCATAGTCACCTATCTCGTCGGATGGCCGCGACTTCGTTCGCAAAGTTCGAGATCCCTCGAGGTTCTACTTCCTGGAGCCATACGCATGCAAAATAACATCCACACAGTCATATAGTTACATATTGTTTGTTTATACATATGTAGCGAACATGCCGGATTTTAAGGGGGTTCAAGAGTCTCAAAAGGGAAGATGGCAGTGCGGCCCTTGGAGGCTGGGCTTCCAAGATGGACCACTGCTTCACTTGGCCGCTGCAACAGCAGCCCTTGGGCGTTTTATGGTTGTTGTTGCACAAGAGAGATAACAAAACAGGTGCTCGACAAACCTTAGCTGATAGCTGGGTTTTGTCCTCGAACCGTTCCTACGCTTACCGTGGCAGTCCGTGGCGCATTGCACGAGTGCTCTCAGAACAACACTACCTAACTTGAGGATTTTGCTCAGGGTGCCACATAGCTACCATGTTCCTGGCTCAGGCCGCAGAAGTCCAAGACACTCGAACCTACACTTCGGTTTACTGAGCTTACTGGTGCTTAATGGGGTAGTAGGAAAGTCCCACTAGAGAACCAGTAGGTCGGTACAGGCTACTTGTGCTTGATATGGACATTTCTGAACATGATCCCTACGTAATCCGGAAAGTCTACATGACCCCACATATCCTTGTATTCTCCAAACTAGTTCTTTTCTTGCAGGGGTCCCAGCACGCTTCGCGCAGTAGTTCTGCACTCACCATCCCTGAGCACTTACCACAAGTCGCGTGGAACAGCCGGGCTAGGCATCCATCAAAGCGTATTGCAAACTGCAGCAGGAATGACTTGGCAGCTTTGGACTTTTTATCCCATCCTCCAACGTTGGAGGTCCCGGTGTGTGAGAGTAGGAAACACGGATGATTTGTGAAGAATCTGCTTTTGTACTGGAAGTCGGCTCCTATGATGAGGCAAAGCCATCCAGCACTCAATCGAAAGCTTTCAGGAGACATCAGTACGTAGGCCTGGTACTAGGGTGTGCATCATAGGGCGTTTACGTCGCCAAAAAAACAAACTGAATCCCTACCGTCAAGCACAACGCCCAAGCTAAGACCCCCCCTCCAGGCATGCCCGAATGGGTCCTCATTTCAGGAACTTGGCATGAGTGTGCGCAACCTCTCAGCTACGCCATGCTACGCCGCGCCTTTTGTAGAGTCCTTCCTATCTTCGAAGCACTGCCAGAAATCCTATGAAGCTATAGCCGAACGCTATGAAATGTAGGCATGGGAAACGCTTTACCTTGAGGAGCCCGACATAAGCGTGGCTTGTTCTGAACGCTTTCCTATTCCCCCTGCAGGCTTCGTAGGCACGCAGTATGTAAGTTTGTCACTGAAATGTTTGCTGGCCTTTACATATACCCTCAGGTCCCGAAATCCTTTTCAAACCCTTACGTGCCCTCATTAGCCACTGGCCACACACATGACACAACACGCTGCAGACTCAAGACACATCCGTGCACACAGTCTTCCAGTGATGCGCATGCAATACTCCGATACACACGCACAGATTGCTTTGGAGATCCCTATGGCCCGTGCTTCGAGAAACACCCATCCAAAGTCAAGGATCGCAGGCAGTACGAGTCCAGGGTTTTTGCACGTGCAGTCTTACTTTACCCCGAAATTCATGCAGGCCGTCCGAGTTCTGATCCGATCTTGCAGTGTTGCAGCACTTCTCGAGAACATGACCAAACCGCAAGTTTTACGAGTACACGTAATTGAGTCATTGCGCATGTTTGTACTTCGGGTAAAAGTAAGTAAAGCCCACTGAGGAAAGTGAAATTCGAGTGGGCAACAGTACCCAACTAAGGAATCATAAGTACACGGAAGTACACTACCCACCAAGGCTGGCTTTTGCGCATCTAGTTTTTCCGCGCCGGCAGACACGCTGATGACTGAGTCGCAAGTCTACAATATCAATGGGTCTGGGAGTTCCGAATATTTCCGCAAAGACGTGGCCTCCCTTTCCCTGTATAATACACCCTGAATTTATATCCTTATTCTAGGAGCTCCCAGAAAGAGGCCCCAACTTGTTGGAAAGCCAAAGCCCCATGAAACGCTACGTAACCCCTTTAGACCTCCTAGAACGCGACCCCTAATGGTTTGGGAGGCCCCAATCCGCATTTGGGAGCATTAGGTGTCGACACTTTTTTTTTTTTTTTTTTNNCTTAGACGTTTGAGATTTTCTTCGGAAATTCTGCGGTAACACTCGGTAACATCATGGGCCCATGACAGCGGCCCAAAATCCTGAGGTCCCTACATAAACCCTGTGTGTTCCACATTTCCAGCCCTGAATCAAGAGGTGCTTGACTAGAAGAGCTTGATGAGCGTCATATGCGCGCTACCAGGACTTGCCTGGGAATATTTAGAAAGTAGAGAGTGTAGGTGTAATCCCAAGTTGCTGGGGTGATTGCAGTGTACAGGGTGTAAAATGTGATTATCTTGTGCCCTTGTCTGCGCGACACCTCTGCTGCACGAAGGTTGAATTTGTATACCCACCTTTCCCCAATGTTATGCACGCTTTTTACCCCCTTGTGTGGAAGATGCTTGTCCAGGGCTAACATAGTGAATCTTTGGCATTAGGCCTGTTAAGCGCTCCTCCTTGCCTTCTGCTGTCTTTGTATAGGTCGCGCCCTAGATGGAGTTTGTGCCTGGTCCTACGCCCTGAACACTCTCTATATGCCAATCTCT